GAATGAATACAACTCATGCAGTAGGAAATTATGAACTACTGAAGTATGCATGAACAAGAATTGTCTCAATACAACTTTCTTTTTTATTTTTATTTTATGATCAAACTGATATTTTTTGTCTTTCAATAATTTATTTAATTTTACTACCTAATGTTCTTGGCTTTTTCCCCCCACACACAAAGTTAAACAATGTTGATAATGTGTGTGCGTGTGAGAGGGAGAGAGGTTGTTCGGTTCAGTTATAATTATAATTATAAGCTATATAGGTTTTTTTCTGTAAGACTGTTTATTAATGATCTGTGTGAATTTGGTGATTCATGCAAACATGGCAAATGGATAAATGCCAGCTTTGTTTACTGTAACCTTCTCAAAAGCACCGCGTTCCAACTGATTTTATATCACCAGCTGAACTGACAGAAAGCCGACAGTAAAAAAAGAAGAAAAAAAATGACCGGACTTGAGGAATGAGGATGTGACCAACACGACCCTTTTTCAGCTCTGTCTTGTCAAATGAACCGCGCTTGTTACAAAACAAGTTCACCAAGTAACTGTAAGCATCGTACAAACTGAAACACGAGGCTGGACAGCTCCGTGAGCAGAGAGATCAGCTGTCTGCGCACGTTTCTCTGTGTGTGTGTGTGTGTGTGTGTGTCAGCTTCATTCAGCTGATCAGAGGCTCCCGCTCCATTGCAGAGAGAGTTTGTGAGGGGAGGGGTGGGCTCTCTGTGTGTGACTGGCCAATCACAGCTCGTGAAGACAGTTACCCAATGAGGATCTTCCTTCACAACGAGCATGGATATTGACAAGTTGTATTCGTTTCCTGCTTGTACTCGTCAAAAATGCATTATCCGTAACGAATACTCGTCTGAAATGAGTATCCGGCTCAACCCTAGTTATTAATTTATTGTAAAAACATGACTGATAATCTGTGAAACAGATRCAGTTCAGCTTGCTGTTTATCTGTGGCGGAGTGGTTAGGAGAGTCGTCCTGGAACCGGAAGGTCGCTGGTTCGGTCCCCCGTCCAGCCGTCTCAGTCGTTGTGACCTTGGGCAAGACACTTCACCCACCTTGTCTACTGATGGTGGTCAGA